AGTGTCACAAGGAGAACATGCAGACTCCAGGAGAGCGATTCCAGGCCGTCTGCTGGGGATCACACACACAGTCTGTTTTGGCTCATCAGTAGATTTGAGGTTTTACAAGAATGTTTGAATAATCGCTGTCCTTTTTATTTGTTTTAATTTGAAAGTCTCATAGTTTGTTGCATAATATAAAGACGGCGGGTTCATTTCAGCCGGTAAAAGTCAGATAACTAGAGTAATCAGATAACACGGTAATCAGATTTGAGTTTTGGTGTTTGTTTACGTGAAGAAATGTGATTGTCAAAAACATCTGGAGACGTGTCAGTTACGTTTTTTACGATTCCCTGTATTTGGAAATCAGTTCAATGGATTTTAAAATAAGTCTTTCAATTTTTAAAGGTGCATTGTGGAACTTTTCTGGTAGAGATCTTATTACTTTGCCTGAAAAGATTCACAGTATGGTATTAAACATTTCGATATTCTTGGAGACCAAACCAGACCAAGTTACAGGTCAGATCTGTGGAGAGGCGACCCCATTCACAGTCAGAATACTGTAACTGATAAGACGTAAGGTAGAGCTGTTTAATGTCATACTGTGGAACATTCCAGGCAGAGCAATGACATATCCATAGAAACAAGAAGGTGATGGACCTCTAACCAAAAAGTTACACAGATTACCGTATTTTTCAGACTATAAGGCACACTTACAATCAGTGCATCTTATGTATTAATTCTGGTTGTGCTGACTGATCTCGAACCGATTTTATGTGGTACACAGCGCTCAAAAATCTGTCAGAAATGCTTTAGTACGACTTTGGTAAACTACGAAACCACACCGCTTGATGGATTGTCGGAGAATTATGGCTACAGTAATCAGGAGCCTCACGGAGCCCAACAGAAGCTGAACCGCATCATTGCACAAGGAGCGAGATGTTTTTTTTTTCAACGCTTATAGTTTATACAAATGAGCCATGTGGTTTTAAGTTTCGTTAGTGTAAAATGTAAACAAATGTGCACAAAGCTGCATTAAACACATTATTACTCAATGTTTATTTGAGTCGTCCTCATAGGAAACAAAAAACAAACTTACATGATCCACCCACATTCACATTCATAATGCATATTCACCTAGACAGGGAGAGAACGCCGGCCGAATTACGTCACAGTTTGCCAATGGATCGTGGACGCCTGGGCTAAAGAATCAGTCTCCAGTGTCGTCCTTTTGTTTCGTTTAATGCACCTTATAATCCAGTGCACCTTATGTATGAAAATAGACGAGAGAATTCAACATTATTGATATTGCGCTTTATAATCTAGTGCACCTTATAGTCCCAAAAATACGGTATTTGAATGTTCCTCGTCGAAATCTGCACAGGTACAAAAAAAATAAAAAATCAGATTACTCACGTCAGATGTAACTGTTCACGTGACATTTCAATAACCACATAACTCCAGAAATCAGACAATGATCAGATTTTTTGTTGTACATGTAAATAACACAATAACAATTTGAAACTGATCCCAAGTTCCAGTATTTCTTCTCAAAAATCATAACAAAACTTTGCGTAATATTCACAATGCCAAATTTGGAACTGCAGCCTGTACTTTTGCATATTAATAAACCCTCTGTTTTCAGTCGAAGCAGAGGAAAAGCCTTTGCTGTTTGGATTAAAACAGTTGTCAGTCGTCGCTGTGTAAGACTTGGGCACACTTTTGGCAGTGTGAACCCGCCCCGTGCATGTGTCTGTGTTTATCAGCGAGCTCAGGGTGGTGACTCTGGGTGACAGCAGCAGCAGCACGTGTCTGTCCCCCCTCCTCCTCTCCTCCTCTCCTCCTGTCCTCCCTCCTCTCTCTCTGATCGGAGCCAGAGTCCTGTCATCCCCCTCGCTGTGGATCCTGACAGCTGAGGGAGGGGGGCGCTCGCATAAACAGCCAAAAGATAGTCACGACACTACAACGCTTTGAAGTTTAAAAAAGGAACTTGCATACCTCAAACTTGGACGCACTATTTTCAGGAAATTCATTCACTTAATGAGGTTCGGCTTGATTATATTTTCTCTAGTGAGCGAGCCTTTTACAATTAAACCAAAAAATAATTAGGGGTGTCAAATTATCGCGTTAATTGCGATTAATTAATTACAGTCATATTTAGCACACGTTATGTTTTTTAATCGCGTTAATCTCATTTTTAATCTCTAACTTTACTGTTTCTGTATGCGAGTTGCTTTATTATTAAAGCAGTTTTTATGTGTTGTTGGGACAACAACACACACACACACACACAAAACACATTTATACATTTTTTTTTTTCGGTAATTCCACTCATTGTCGGAAACCCACACAAAACGCGCGCAGTAAGAGCGATGTAAACGTCACGTTGGCGGCGTCAGTTGCACAATGGACGAGGTGGAAGAGCCAGTAGAACAGAGCAGCAGTGCACAGGTAAAAACACATTCGTGTCTTGGAAATTATTCTCCCGACGTGAAATATAAAAGAAAATAACAAATATAAAATCGCCTACAACTTAAATGTCACTGGTGAAAACAACCTGCATAGACTCATGATGTCTGCACTACTGTCCTATAGTGACCTGCCACATGAGGGGACACGCACACAAACACACACAAACACACACAAACACAAACACACACAAACACACACACACAAACACACAAACACACACCTTCATCATCGTCATTAACCTGAGAACGCGCGGACCACGTTTCCTTCCGTAGACACTGCGCGGACACCGACGTGCTCCCGTGAGCCGCGTGTGGATCGTGTTTTCTCGCGTACGCGGCGTAAACCGCGCTTCCTCCTGTGAGCCTCTAAACCAGAACTAACACCAAGACTAAAACCAGGACTAATCCAGTCCAGGACTAAACCAGGTCTAAACTAGAACTAAAACCAGAACTAAAAAAACCAGTCTAAACCAGGTCTAAACCAGGACTAAACCAGGTCTAAAACCAGACTAAAACCAGAACTAAAAGTAGGACTAAACAGGTCTAAACCAGGACTTAAACCAGGACTAAAACCAGTGATCTCATATATAAAGCATTTCTCTATCAATAATATTTTTAATATGGTTAAGGAAAGACTGGACTTTTTTATTGTCTTTAAGTAGACAAAAGTTATTATGTTCAGATTTCCTCGTCTTTGCTACTTTTACAGCAAACAGTTTCTTATTCATGGAGACTTGGGCTCAACAGCCAATTTGGGGAGATTTGTTTAAACAATAAATGACTTTATAAAGTCACTTTTTTAAAATCTATATCAGTCTTTTGATCTGCCACAATAATGTAATAATGAATTTAAATGAAAATACCTCAAATTGAAGGCTTTTCTCAGCAATTTTAGGTGAGATTAAAATGAGATTAATTAGATTAATTAATTACAGATCATAATTAATTAATTAATCTCTCAATTTTTTTAATCGCATGACAGCACTAAAAATAATAATAATTTGCACAATGTTTGAGAAATATATTTTGTTTTGCAATGATATCAGCTTTTCTTCCTTATTATCATCCTCTTTTTATTCTGTTCACAATTGGTGGAGGAGTTCAAGTATTTTGGGATTTTGTTCACGAGTGAGGAAAAGATGGAGCGTGAGATGTGAGATTATTGCTCAGTCTCATCTAGTCTCTTTAATATCTGCAGAACTGTCCTATAGTGACCTGAGACATGAGGGTCCCGAACTGAACCAGGTCTAAACCAAAACTGAACCTGGACTGAGTGTCAGGATGAGCCCGGAGGTGCGCTTGTGTAGACAGTCGGGTGACCGCAGGAGAAAGGAGTGGCGCAGAGTAAAAGTCCAAGATTAGTCCAGGTTTAGTCCTGCTTAAGACCTGGTTTAGTCCTAGTATAGTCCTCCTGGTTTACTCCTGTTTTAGTCCAGTTTTAGTCCTGGTTCAGTCCTGGTTTAGTCCTGTTTTAGTCTTGGTTTAGACCTCCTGTTTTAGTCCTGTTTTAGTCCTGTTTTAGTCCTGGTTCAGTCCTGTTTTAGTCCTGGTTAAGTCCTGGTTAAGTCCTGGTTTAGTCCTGGTTCAGTTCTGGTTTTGACCTGGTTCAGTTCTGTGTTAGTCCTGGTTAAGTCCTGGTTTAGTCCCCCAGTTTAGTCCAGGTTTAGTCCAGGTTTAGTCCTGGTTTTAGTCCTGTTTTAGTCCTGGTTTAGACCTCCTGGTTTAGTCCTGTTTTAGTCCTGGTTTAGTCCTGTTTTAGTCCTGGTTAAGTCCTGGTTTAGTCCTGTTTTAGTTCTGTTTAAGTCCTGGTTTACTCCTCCTGGTTTAGTCTTGTTTTAGTCCAGTTTTAGTCCAGTTTAAGTCCTGGTTCAGTCCTGATTTAATCCTGGTTAAGTCCTGATTTAGTCTTTGTTTTAGTCCTGGTTAAGTCCTGCTTTAGTCCTGGTTTAGACCTCCTGCTTCAGTCCTGGTTCAGTCCTGGTTGATTTGTTTTAGCCTAAGCTTTATGTTCTGTCGGTGATTACGAATGGTGTTAATAATAATAACATAATTCTGCATAATTTTCAGTTAAAAAAAAAAACAACAGCATCAAATATTACTGATTTATGACATCACAAATCACGTACCCCCACTTTAAAAAAAAATCTCCATTACACCACCGCACCTCCCCTCACCTATGGTCATGAGCTTTGGGTAATGGCTGAAAGAACAAAATCGCGGATACAAGCGACCAAAACTCCAGTAGAGTTTCCTCTGCAGGGAGTCTGGGTGCTCCCTTAGAGATAAAGCGAGGAGCTCAGTCACACTGGAGGAGCTCGGAGTAGAGAGGAGCTGGGGCATCTGTTCTGGCCTGGGAACAGTCTGAAGATATCCCCGGAAGAGCTGTGAACTTAAGTGAAAGATTCATAATGTTAATGTCAACTGCTGCTCAGATGTGGCATGCTCTGCAGTCACCGCTGATGTCTACAGTCTCTAGAAATAACCCCGAACCCTGAACACGAACATCCAGTGTTGATGTTAGCTTAATTATCTGTATCTGTGCTTCCGCAGACAGCCGTTCCCCGCTGGAGACAGAGTGACATTCAACGGGAAGGAGTGTATCTGCCAGAAATGCACTCAGCCTCTCCCGGCCAACAGCCCTGCTCCCATCCAAGCAGTGCACAGTAAGTACTACTTCAACACTCACAGGAAAGTTACACAAGTCTGTCTGAATGTCAAAATGTCTTAAAATGTCGCCTAAACAATGTCTTAAAGTGCTTATGACAGCTTTTTATATTTTTTTGAATTATGACTTGGCTCAGTGGGACAGTACCTAAATATTTATCACAGTTTTACATCAAAATAAGAGGCAGTTTGTGGGAAAAAGCTGAAAAGTACAACAAATACATGACGTATCATTGAGGGGTATAACGATATCCAAGTCTCACAATACGATATCATCACGGTTAGGGGTGAGCAAAAATATCGAAATATTGTATCGTGTAATGTAGTGATACAGTATCGCTATTGTGGGCTGCTGTATCGATATATTACCAAGAGTATTTTTTTTTTATATATATATATTTTTTTGTATATTTTACTAAATTGGGCTGCTGTATCGATATATCGCCAAGAGTTTTTTTTTATATATTTTTTTGGTATATTTTACTAAATTATTTAATGATTAAAATGGGTGTGTTTTATATTAACTTTGCACAAGAAGTGGTTTGACAAAGATTTTTAACATCACAGCCATGATTTAGCCATTATTTTTTATTGAATCGGTTTGAAATATATCGTATTGAATCATGTCAAATCTAAAGCTCTATGTATCGTATCGTGGCCTGTGTATCGAGTTATGTATCGTATTGGCAACTTCTTAATGATACCCACCCAAGTCACAGGCATGAACTTCAAACGGTACGATATTTATTGTGATATCGTGGGAAAGCTCACGATATGGAGAAGATGCTCACGCTTAGGAATGTAACAGTATCCAAATCTCACGGTACGATATTTTCACGATATACATCTCACAATACGATATTTATTGTGATATTTTGTGAATCTAATCTGCTACTTTTTCCTCTTAAAATGCCTTGACAAGACTGAATCCAAAGAACTAAGACTTAAAAGTGCTTAGAACTGTTATTTCTTCTTGTAGTCTACACTGAAATGGAGCAAAGGATCATGGTCTATGTAGTTCTCTGTCTTTTTTAAGTTATTGCTGCACCATAACTCTTAATTTAAGCAAAAAGACTTGTAATTCGATATTATTCTGAGATCTTCGACAATATGATATCACGATATTTCTGTTATTGTTACATCCCTAGTATCAGTGAGTTTTTCTATCCAAAATGGACATTTTAGAAGCAAGGAATGTGATTTTCTGTAACTTTAAACATTAATTTCACATATTTCTTGTTAGTCGTCTAATCATAAAATCATAACTACTATATTGTACCAATTTAGAAAGTTTCAACCCTTAGTCTTCTGTTTGCTTCGTAAAAGTTATCAAAATACCTGCATGTATCTGCTGCCCATGTTTACCTAAAGAAGTAAAATTATACTTCACCAAAATAAAATAAAAATCAATCTTTTTGTGAAATGAGTGCAACCTGTCACAATCATTTAACACAACAGGTAAATTAGTGGTCAGAATTGGTCAGTATTGCGTAATCTTTGGGTTTTGCCTTGAAACTTTGTTGTGTCTGTGTGATTTGAACAGACTGCTGTGGCTGCGGGAAGGAGTTTAAGAATGAACAGTCTCTGGTGGCTCTGGACAAACACTGGCACCTGGGCTGTTTCAAGTGTAAAGTCTGCAGCAAGGTGCTCAACGCAGAGTACATCAGCAAGTGAGTACTGTTATGGTGATAGGCCTGTGTTTGGACTCGTCTCTGGTCTAGGTTTGCATCTGGTCCGGTCTCTGGTCCTGTTGTTATGATTCAAACTTTATTTACATACTAAGGAATCGGTTCAGTACCATATTTTTTTGTAATAAATTGTCAACACAAATATAATCATAGTTTCCGATCTATGTTATCATGTTGTTTCCTCATCAAAAACAGATCTGAAGTTGTGTTTTGTTTCATTCACACTTGTTTAATACACAAATCCTGCATGGCTGAGTTCTTCTCTCAAACAGAAAACACTCTCTTCCACCTTGTCATGTCATGTGGTGATACAGGAAGTGCTCCACTGTGTTTTTAAACTCCATACACTTTCATTAGAAATATCTGGATGATTTCAGACCTGGAATTGCCAGTCTCCTCTGAACTGAACTAAAGGTAAAAGGAGCTGGTAACTTGAACACTGTGACATCACAAGGTGGATCAGAGAATGTTGAGCTTTGGAGATGCTGACAGACTTTTCACAAGCAAGAACCACACGACAACAGTGGAATACAATTAAGATATTTATTGATGATGGATAGATGGGATGACTGGGGGAAGACTCAAGGTGGGGGTCTGTCTTCAGTTCAAAATGGTCACTCAACTGATTCAGCACAAACCCCTCCTTGTAGATGATGTTTTCAGGCTGAACGATGGACAAGAGACACGGGGTGGAGGGATGGGATACATGTTGTCAAGATAGGCCGTATAAGGGCCTGTTTACACGAGAACGCTTGCAGGTAAAACCAACTAAATATTTTATTGGAAGTGCCTTTCGTTTAGACGGTGACGGCATTTTTGGGGCTTAAAAATGCAAAAATCTGAAACCAGCCTCCAGAGTGTAAAAGTTGAATACGCTCCGCCGTAGCGTTTCCGTCTACACTGCCCAAGACACAAAACTCTGGTCAGATCTGCTCAGGTCGTGTACACGTTTACGTCACATACATACAGTACACAGAAACAAACATGTCGGATCATTTCCATGCGTTGGACCTTCAATCTTCTCTGGCAGCTCTAATAAACTTACAGAAGGCATCCCAACAAATGCACAGAATCTGCAGAGATACTATCAGTGAACAGAGAAGGATCTGCAATCACCTCCGTCAAATTCTGAATGCACCAGTTCGTCGCAGGCGAGTCAGACGATTATGGACGAGACCTGGAGATCCAGTTGATGATGGGATAACTTTGTGAAAGGAGCAGCTGATGAAAATGCATAAAAACTTCCCTATGTCCAAAGATGCCCTTGTTGCTTTAAGTACAAACATACCCAATCGAATTCCACATACTTTTCCGTCACTGTATGCACTCAGATTTCCTACTGAATACACTTGTCTAAATGCTTGATAAAAAGTAAAGACGCGAGGCCATTTTTGCGTCTTCTGTTCAGAACATCATCATATAACCCTAGCCTAAGTAGGGCTTCTGGGTATTTGAAGACGTGGTTGAGCCGAGCTGTGTTTGGAGCGAAGGTTGAGGTGTGGTCCTGCTCCTCAATCTCAGTCACTCATATTAACTCCAGGATTAATGCAGGATTATTTAAACATGTGTGAATGAAACAAAAGGCAACATTCTAACACAAGCTTACAAGAGTCAATTTTGCATAATATAGAGACTTTAATGTGATTTTATGTATTTATTTTTAAATGATACTTGCTCAAATTAATATTTAGTTTTGATAGTAGTTTTAGTATTTCATTTTTGATACTAGTCTCTTGTCTGGTCTTGTCTGATTTGGACTTTGAACTGGTCTCTAGTGTGAAATATATTATGTTCTTAAGTCCTCTTGTCTTGTCTTCACCAGGGATGGGATTCCTTACTGTGAGATGGACTACCACGCCATGTTCGGTATCCAGTGTGAGAACTGCAAGAAGTACATCACTGGAAAAGTCCTTGAAGTAAGTGACATGTTGTTTTTCACTCTAGCATTGTTGACCTCGCAGTGTATTTAGAATTACATTGTTCCCTTGATGTTAAAAAACTCAATATCACGTGACTTTCAGATCTGTTATAATGTTGTCTCCTCATCAAAAACAGACCTGGAGTTGTGTTTTGTTTTATTTACACAAGTTTAACACAAAAACCCTGCATATTTCGGCTCAGTTCTGTGTTTTTAAACTCCAATCTTTATTGAACAGGAGGTAAAAGTTGTTGAAGCAGGAACATTTTGAGCTTTGGAGATGTAGACAGACTGATAATAAATGGTTACTCAAACGTGTGAGTAAAACCAAGGGTGGAAGATAATGAATTATATTTACTCATGTAAACTGAGCAGTTTTTATGAGTAATTTGTAATTTTTTAAAGTAGTTTTTGAAATAGGTAATTTTACTTTTACTCGATTATATTTTGACCCAAGTATTTAACTCCATTACACTGAAACCCACCCTCGTTACTGAGTAAAATAAGATTGACAGAGGAAAAAAAGTGAAATGCAAAAGAACAAAAAATAATAATTATAATAAAAATAAACAAAATAAAACAATCTGCCAGAAATAAAAGGAAATTGAACGGGCTTGGGTTAGACTTGGTATAGTATACAAGGGTATTGTCCTGGTTTAGTCCTGATATAGTCCTGGTTTAGTCCTGGTTTAGACCTAGTTTAGTCCTGGATTAGTCCTGGTTTAGTCCTGGATTAGTCCTGGTTTATTCCTAGTTTAGTCCTAGTTTAGTTCTGGTTTAGTCCTGGTTTAGTCCTAGATTAGTCCTGGTTTAGTCCTAGTAGATTAGTCCTAGATTAGTCCTGGTTTAGTCCTGGATTAGTCCTGGTTTAGTCCTAGATTAGTCCTGGTTTAGTTCTGGTTTAGGTCAGTTGTCTTTAAAATGTTTGTAATGTAAAAGTTTGCACTGTATCACCTAAAAGATGATTAAAACAACTTGTGCTGGATTAGATTTATGACTCATCCTTTTTTACATAAAATAATTCAAACTAAGTAATTTTTACTCATATTATTACTTTTTTACTTTTACTTGAATAGATTTTTAGATAGTTACTTTTACTTTTACTTGAGTAGGAATTAAGCAAAATAAAGATACTTTTACTTCATTACAATTTGTCAGTACTTTTTCCACCTCTGAATAAAACAAAACACAACTCCAGTAGGGGTGTAAGGATATCCAAGTCTCACGATACGATATTGTCAGGGTATGAACGTCTCGGTACGATATTTATTGCAATATCGTGGGAAAGCTGATGATATGGTGGGGAGTCTCACGATTAGGAATGTAACAATATCCAAATCTCTCTGTACGATATTTTCACGATGTACATCTCACGGTACGATATTTATTGCAATATTTTGTGGAGGCAACTATACTTTTTCCTCTTAAAATGCCTTGACAAGACTTAATCCAAAGAACTAAGACTTGTGTGTGTTTAGAACTGTTATTTCTTATTGTAGTCTGCACTGAAATGGAGAAAAGGATCATGGTCTATGTAGTTCCCTCTTTATTTTTTAGCTATTGCTGCACCATAACTCTTAATTTAAGCAAAGAGACTTGTAATTCGATATTTGTGATGGTCCATGATATTATTTTGAGAACTTTGACGATACGATATCACGATATTTCGGTTATTGTTACATCCCTAAACTCCAGGTATATTTTTGAGAAGGTAACACCATTATAATATGACTTAAAGCTGGAGTGTCTTTTGAACATGGACCTTTAAAGACAAATACAGTATCTCTCCTCACTTGGAAAGATCGCAAAATCCATCTCATGTTTCTTCGGACAGTTTAACTTTCATTAAAATCCAGCTAATTTGCATTCTAATACATTTCTGGTATTATGATTATGTCGCTGTTGCTTCCCCTGTTAGAAACCACGCATTATCTTTGGTTACTGTGTGTTGTATCATGTTATGCAAGCACTTCTCCTGTTATTACACTCAGGATGTTGTGGTGACCTCATTTCCCTGTGGAATGATGAATCTTTAAACCGGTCATACCCACCGCCACTTACACACAGACAATAAATCACCAGTCATGCCACACCAGCAAAAAAAAAAACACAGATATTCTCTTTGCTTTTATACTACTCAGCGTTCCTGTCTTCTATACGGACATTTTAGCTCGGGGCGGATGACTGTACAGTATAGCGCACGCACGCTTTCTGCTTTCACCTGTGCACCCGTCGCTCCCTGTGGGCCTTGTTGTTATCCAATCTCAGGTAACAGTAGATTCTGATTCGAGATTCCCAAAACATCACCTGCTTAGCTCCGGGAAACATTACGTTCGCTTTAGAAACCAGATCTGCGTCCAAAACCGGTGCCTTTTGCAGGTTTTTCTACATCCAAGGCGTTATGGGGGTCAAAACACGTCACCCTAGTTTTTGGCTCGCATGAAGTCATATTTGTAGCATTGTTTAGCTTTGTGGAGCGTTGTGCGGTGACGAGTCTGAGGAAATGACCTGATTTTGTTTGTGTGTCGAATAAAGACTGAACAAAGACGGGGAGCAGGGGAGCTTATAGTTTTGAAGCGAGTCTTTTGAATTGCAGAACAGAAAAGAGATGTATATGCGAGCTGTGTTTCAGTCCGGAGAGCGCTAGAAAAGACGACACAACATGCCGATATGTGAGCTACCGGTAAGCGAAATAGGTTTTTACGTAGTTTTTTGCGCTGAAAATGTAAACATTAGCATTCGTAGCTATGTATCGTGCTAATGCTAAGGAAGTAGGTTAGCACATGGCGTTGATTTTGAGCGATGTTATTTGACTCTGGACGTGATTGAGTCTCATGTTACGGATATTTAAAATAATATTGTTTTGTGATCTGTGTACCGTTGAATTTCAATTAATAATGAAAAGCAGTAAAATATGAAAGCAGTTTATTTCATTATTCCGTTTTAGTGTCAAACAAAAACAAAAAAAAAGATTTCAACCTCGATTTCCAATATTTAATTTAAAGTTTATTTCAAATAGCAACAATCAACATTTATTCTATTTTAATTTTGATATTTTATTCTCTCTGGTTTATTTGTTATTTATTTGTTTGAAGTTCTGCTGCTAGAAGGACTTACCTGAAAAATCGTTGCAATTTTGTGGACAACGCGTTTACTTTCGCATCTTAGAAAGTCATTGTGTGTAGAATGTCTTGTGATGTATCTGGGAAATATATCAGATGTAGTAACGGATGACATGTATTTGACAAAAATAATTTTAGCTGCATCTTAAAAGGGAATTACAAAGAATTGGTTGCAACCAGATCCACCTGCACAACAAGACTGGATCCGGATTGTGGAGAATATTTCAGTGATGGAAAGAATAACATATAATCTTAAACTGAAAGGTACAAATACAATGAGCAACGGGAAAAGTGGAATGTATTCATAAATGACACCAGTAAAATAACATAGTACATAAAAATGTCAATACCAAATGCATGTTTAAATAAGAACCTGTAACTCCAGACAGTTTTTACATTGTTTTTGATTTTATATAGTTTTTTGTATGTTTTGAAATGTTACTTAAAACCAATAAAAACAAACGTATAAACAAAGAAAGTCATTGTTGAACTCCATGACGAGAAACAGGAAGCAACGATAAACTCTCCTTTGTTCAGCGGACACTGACGTATAACTTCCGGGGCCAATAAACCAGAGAGAATAAAATAAATACACGCATGATGACTGTTTTTTGATTGGTGTTATTTGTAATAAACTTTAAATTAAATATTGGCTATAGACGCAAGACACTAAAATGGAATAATGAAATAAACTGTTTTCCCATTTTATTGTTTTTCGTTCTTAATTGAAAATCAAAAGAACGAATAGTACACGAACCTTTTACGTTGTAATCGTTGGTATATGGACCAAAGCTGTTGTGATATCTAAGTGTGGATGTTTTGCAGTGGGGCAGAGTTCCATAGTGAATTATATAAGCAATATTTTTGTTTAAACCATTGTTAAAATTGACCATTGATTTCAGAGCTTCTAACCTGGTTATAGTTGTTTTCCCTTCTCGTTTTTTAGATTTCCAAAATAAAAAAACGGGATATCCCTGGTTTGGGTTGGTTGGTAATAATAAAATTGTGAAACAAGTGCATAATTAAGGAAAATGGTTCTGCACTTGGCACTAATGTGAGTCAGTATAGTCACATTTTCTTTGTGTTTTGGTCATTTTTAAACAGCTTTTCTGTATTTTACTTAAACAAACGTCAATGTATGTCTCTCTTTACTGTTGGCAGGGATCAAATTGGTCAAAAATAGGGACACCTGGGACATTTCTTGTATAAAACTTGGACAAATCAGTGGTTTTGGATAAATCTGCTGAGACAGGGGACACAAGGCTTAAAACTGGGACTGTCCCGGGTAAATAGAGACGTCTGGTCAATCTACACTTACCCTCTTGAAGTTGTATTTGGAATCATTTGCGCAACTTTTAATCTCCTATTTTGCTGATCAACTCCTGTTTTCACCAGCACCGCTCTTTACGTACTTCGTTCTCCAATTTTCATCACATTGGCATTTCAGTACAAATAAAAAATAAAATAAAAATCTGCTGCTCGCTGTGTGATCTACAGCTATCCATAGGAGGTGTTGACAACTTCACGACCCTTTGTTGTGATGATGTTTACTGCCAGTAGTAGTTTCTTTTTATTACCCTGTATGGAAATTCTCCTCTGTATTTCACCCATCCTTCTCAGGAGCAGTGGGCAGCACATGGGGCGCCCGGGGACCCGTCTCCATGACCTTGTTGCTGGGCGTGGTCAGGACTGTCTTAGCTGGAGGATTTAACCTATGATGCAAACTCCACACTAATATTGCCACAGTAATATTTAAAATGTAAAAATTGTAAAATAATGGTCCATGGGTGTCGTAAATTAAAACTATATAGCATCTTTAAGCGAAATATGTCCTCTTTAAAGATGCACTGTGCAACTTTTCTGGAGAGGTGTTTGC